GGGTGTGGGTGTGGGTGGGTGTGGGTATGGGTGTGGGTGTGGGGTGGGTGTGGGTGGGTGTGGGTGGGTGTGGGTGGGTGTGGGTGTGGGTGAAGAAGAGATCAACACCCACACCCACCCTGATTATTCAAACCGCAGTAATCATATGTCGAACCTGGGTTTTTCTACGCCGTATTTTTCCAGAATTCTATACTGCAGTTCTGTTAGGCGAAATCAAGACTTCTCAAGCAATGTCCTATCGGGTTAGGGATAGGCTCTGAAGACCTGCTAAATAGCGGTACCTATAAGTCATGATGAGCTTTTATATTTAGATGTGGATGAATAGGTGTGTTAAGCCTACAATTGAATTTTCCGTACTCAAAAAGAATTACATCATGGAGAGTGGCTAAAATAAATTTTGGAAGATCCAGAAACCGAAATATGCTTCCTAATTCATCTTCAGAAATTTTTAAAAGCTTTCGGAACTTCGGACATCAATTTTATAGCCTTCAAAATTGATTGAAGAGTTACAGATCGTAGAAAATTCGGAAATCACAAAGTTTCGGAACTTCCAAAAAGAACATTTTTGGTCTTTCTGAAGGATCGCAATCCGTTTGTGGTTTCCAAGATTCTTAGTGTTAGAAAATATTCAAAGGTGAGCGAAAGGTAACCGAAAAGGCTTCCCAAGTTCTGAACTCCTTTTACGTGTTTTGTGGGATTCATGACGAACAGTGAATTCTCGTTGCCGTCCTCTGAATTTTATTTTCATTCGCTTATCACAATAACCGTCTTTAGAGTTCAAGTAACACAAGTGGAACAGTTACACCCTTAATTATCAGTATGCCATACGATAATGGTTGCTATATCTTACAGATACTTCCATAATTGCGTCGTACAGAACCTACCTATCTCTAAGTAGGATAGCTTCCGACGAGCGATGGGCATCTCATAGTACAAAACTTGAGGGCCTATGGGTACTCCATAGTAGAGAACATGAGGAGCTATAGGGCCTCTCGTCGTGTATTCGTTGCGGATGAATTGGTACCCTGATAATATAAGACATCAAGACCTATACGTACCTTCATAGTATATGACATGAGGACCAATGACCACTGTAATAATACAAGACATTCGGACCATGGGTACCACCACACGATAGGACTTGAGGAAGTATGCGTACTCTACAGTACAGAACTTGAAACCGAAGAGTACCACCGTAGTATAATCCGTTAGGAACCAAGGGTACTCATAGACTATAGAACTTGAGGAGCTATGGGTACCCTCACAGTATAGCACTTGAGGACCCAAGGGTACCGGCATAGGAAAGACCTTGCAGATCGATGGGTACCTCTATAGTATTGGCTTAAGTATCTATGGGTATTCGCTAGTATTGGGCTATACCAATTTCAGTTGGTTCTTGGCCAATTATTGACAATTCCAACCAATTCCTGTCAATTCCAATTCCCAATTCCAAGCCAAGAACTGGAATTGGAATCGGTGCATCCCTACTTACATCCATCCCCTAGCCATTTTAAATTGGTGCTGGAAAAGTTTTAGCAAGCCTTTATTGAATTGAAAAGCAAGGAACTCACAATGGCAAAAATAAAAACTCTTTGTCATCGACAGCAGCCAGACCTAAACGCTGGATCGACATACTGGGCAGATCCTACTGCCCAAAAGCCATGTCTGGATACATTTTGAATGAAAGTAATGAATACATCCTGGTAAACCTTGAACACGGTCATTCTTCATGTAAGTATCCAAACAAATAACACAAGTATGATCATGCTTGTTTACATTCACCTCATCAATCGTCCAAGTCCTCAAATCTTTGCCATTTGTCACAGAGGCGACTGTAGTAGGTAGGGTGGCCGCAATGTTATTAACTTGTAAGGTTTCAGGGGCATATGAGAAGCCATTCCTGCGCATTTCTTCAATTCGATTTCGACGTTGTCGCCGATTTTCAACAAATGTGCCTTTTAGACAATAGTTTTAATAATAAGGTTTGTTTGACGTACTGAAAACAGTAGCTTACCTGTAAAGTTGTGCCATGCCATCATGATGCCTTCGTCTGTTGGTATGTCTTTTTTAAAAACACGTACTTCAACGACAAAGTTCGTGTCTCTCGGACGTTTGCCATCACTTCGACGATTTCTCACACTGACTCTCAACGGTGAATTTGGTACTTCCCACTCGTACAGATGCTCATATCTTGACAGTGAATCTCTCGTGTCCAAATAGTCCAGAAAATCAAACATGTCATTAGAAGACTCTGTACGCAGTATAAATTTAAACGAGCCAATTGTATTAGGTGGCTGAGTTTCACTCTTAGGACCCTAGTACAATAAATGTATAAAAAAGGTAAGATTAGAAAACTGGCCTTTAAATTTTTCAATCGAAACCTACAGAAACACAGATGAGAATATGTAAATTCTGAATGAGGAAATAAAAGGTGACTAGTGTACATCTAGTTCAGAAAAAGGAAATTCTATCTTTAAAACACATTCTTCGAACAAAAGATAGATAAATTTGACTAAAGTCACATTTCTGTGGTTCCTTTTTCTGATATGCATATGACCCATATTATTGTAAATTCCATGAGAGATCCAATACGTATTCTACCCATTATAAAGTACTGTAAAGTATGTGACTTTTGAATTTCAAGAATACTTTGTATGTCAAGATTGGCTTCTCAAGATCTTCACGGACAGGCAAGCAAACATCTTCATATTCATATTCTGAAAATATAATCATAGGATACTGCTGTACTTGAAAAATGAAAAATAGACACGCATTTCTAATTTTTTTTATTCTAAGAATGTGCCTCCCGATTGCAAGTTTCTGTGTTTTGTTTTTTTTGTTCTGCGACTGGATTCGGCGTTGAATATAATATGCTTTTATCATTTTGTCAAGTCTCATATCTTAAAAAAATACTGATAAATATTTGTTGTCTGTCCTTTTAAAAAATTTCCAAAGTATCACCTATAGAACATGTATCCAGTTAATTGGGATCAAACTGCATAATCTAGGACACAGATGTCCGAGTTGAGCCAAGTGTTAGATGAACATTTCATAAAATGATGAGAGCTTGTTGTACAAAAGTTGCATTATTTTCTCGAAAACTCACTATAAATATAATACATTTACTTTAGAAAGTAAACAGTGTTCACGAGTTGCCTCCCATTCGATCTTTTCTACACCAACAGAAATGCAAAGAAAAACTTCACATAATGGAAGAGAGTGTCAACCCATATTTGATTAGATTTTTAAAAATATTGAAATAATGAACTAAAACGTAGCTTACACGATAGTCAGACATTATACGGCCAGCTCGCTGAATTTCATCACTTTTGTCTGAAATGTCAAAAAACTGTTCAGGTGTCAGAAGAAGCCTACGTTCTTCACCGGATTGAATGTTCTTTTTCAATTCAATACGAAGATCACCATTATCATGAGTTATATTAATATGCGGTGCATGATGACCACCACCATTAGGCAGGCTGTAAGGAGTGGAACGAAAGCGGCGTCGCATGTGTGTGTTTTTGGTGGATAAGTAGGAGTAAGACGTGTAAGAAAGTTTAAAGTATGACGCAGAGGAAGAGAAGAGAAAATGGTCGGCTCTACAGACACTAATGTTAACAAGTAATCTTTGCTGACATCATTTTACAATTTTTTCTCTATTTTTCTTTTGTTATTTTTTCCACCAATGGCAAAAGGATATAACGTCGTGAGAGCTGGCTTCGCTTATTCATACAGAGAGGAGAAACATTTCAGTGTAATTTTAGAATACAATCGTTTTTCTTTGTTTGAATAGTTAATGGTATTTGATCTCATCAAAGAGAAAGTATATGCAAGTAAATGTAAGAAATTTGATAGGAAGATCGTTGATCGAGGCAGAAATTTGACTTACCCATTTGTCTTGAATCCCAGTAATTTTTCTATGCTTGGACACATGTTTTTTCTTTCTCGCACATTTGTTGTGGGTGTGGGTGTGAGTATTTCCATTCTTCACACCCACACTCTGAATATTGATTTTGCACTGTCCTTTTTTCAAGTTGGAAAAAACCCACTGATGACAGACAAGAAAGTGCTCCATTCTCCATTTTCTTGTCAAATATTTACTATGTAAATAGAGACCGCTATTCAAGTATGCTGTGTGCAAAGACATCGACTTTCCGCGAAAGAAGAACAAAAGCATGTGCGTCAAGCAACTTTTTTCTCTCTCTCTGTGAATGGCTGATGCGACACAAAAGGCATACTGTATCATTGCCAAAGAATAAAACAAGGGTTCATGGTGTTTTATTTAGGCTTTTTGAAGACATAAAATATTCATTATAGACTTCTTAACTGATTGGCTATCGATGGCGAGAAAAATAAACTTGAGTTAAAAATTAAATGCTAATGTCTACTTTTGTAACAGATTGGGACACTGGCAAAGACGTTTGACGACACAAGTAACACTTTAACGGCGAAGTGGAACGTCATTAATTTTAGATCCATAGAGGAGGAGGTTATTTACTCGAACAAGTTTTCTATGCCTTTCTTTCCTAAAATATTTTGGACCATGAAATTTTATCCTCTTCTTAAAAACACCAATGAAACTAGTTTTTCTAACCATGGAGACAGTGTTGGAGTTGTACTTTGCGCAGATGGCAACTTATTTGCAAATTATGAGTTTGTTTTTGGCTCAAGTGTTCGAGTAAACCAAAAGCACAAATCGGCTCAGTATTTCTGCGCTGAAAGTTCCGAGACTACGATGTCTACTGTTGGGTACCGAAACATATCTTCAAATGACGTTCTAATCATCTGCACAATTACAATTCCGTTCAACTCGTACATCGGTGGCCAGAGATTAGACACATTTCAGTATTGGCGCAAAGTTCTAGACAGCCAAAAGGGTGTGGGTGTCGGCGTCGGCGTGAAATAGTTTTAACGATGCTCACACCCACACCCCACATCTTCAAGATAATCTTGAGAGATTCTAATCTCAAATCCGCTCTTTCCCCTTGGAAGTGTCAATATGTCGAGAAAATAACAAAAAGGTTTTTGTGGAAACGTCTGATCGTTTTGTTCGAACAAATGTGTCGTATTTATTAAACGGATAAACAAGCAGTCAGGCCTAATCAATCAAGTTGGCTTACAGAGAATTTCAAGACGCATCTGTTGTAAAAAGGCTGCTGCCAGTCAAATGAATGGACATCACGAGATAGCCAAAATACTGAGAGGTTCACTTATTTTGAAGCACTCGTTGTAAGATAGTTAAAAGCACAAATATATTTTTGTTGATCATGAATAATTAAAAAAAAATTAAGATACAAAGAAAGGTGCTACCACTGCAATAGCGACGGTTAATATCGAACACGGTCGAATAAATGATAAACCATTACATAAGTCTTTGTCATTACAGCAGCATACTCCCCCTGAACCTCCAGTACCAGGTACTGGACCAAGCTCGCAGTGATTTAGGCCACCCGCACAAATCGTACGCAGGCCTTTAATTATAATAGGACCAATCATTAATTTCTAAAAATAATAAAAATAGAGTAGTTTGTTACAATATCAATTATTTTTCATATGTAGATAAATACTGGAAAAGTTAGGCGAAGAGTCGATTGAAGTTAACGTTTTAGATGGAGGAAAATCGATTCGAGATGAATGAGACTGTCATAGTACAAGACTTCCTTCGAGTAGAAAATCCCTTTGACGTAGACTATTATTGAACTATATGTTATCGAACGATTATTTTTTCCTGAGAAAAAGAACAATCAAAGAACATGAAAAAAATGTTTTAGCGATAAACCTATTTGAAAGCCAATCCAAATGTTACTTTATCATATCAACTAGAGAAAAAGCGAAGAAACTGTCTGAAACAGAATATAGGAATGGTTCTCCGGTCTCAACAGATGGCACGAAATCTTATATTAAGTAAGGCGTTTCCATCCTTGTAGTAGAACCGCGCTTTTTAAACATAGTTGACGTACCCCGCAAACTTCGCCTCGTTCAGCAGTTACTTGTGTAACTCCCGGTGCATTAGCATTGAAAGGATTTGTACAACCATTGCATTGGTAACAAATCAGAGCATCCGTATTTGGAACAACTATAAATCCATTAACAACAGTCTTGAATAATTTGAATTTTAAAAACAAGATACGTACCCAATAAAATGGTTAAAGTTGCATAAAATATAGAATCAAAATTATAATAATTTCTGAACAGGACCATGCCTAGCACTTTTCAAAATACAATGACGATTTGCAACATATACACGTATAAAAATGATAAAAAGTTTCTTGGTTTTTTCCCCCAGTAAGCTCTTCCGACTGTAATTCTTATCTTTTACTGTTTCTTATAATCTTGATTGCTCAAAAACTGTTGACAATGACGCACACAGGTAAATCTCAAGTTTTCATTTTCGTAAATTCATTATCAGTTACACATTTCGATGACACTGACAGTGTTTTATCCAGAGGGGGGCCGCGCCCCCCCCGAAAAGCGGGTTTGCCCCCCCCCCCCCCCGACACTTGCGATCATCGTACTATAAACACGTGGCTTGCCCCCCCGAAAATAATTTTTCGCCCCCCCGAAATTCCAAATCGCCCCTCCGGAGAAAAAATCCTGGATAAAACACTGGACACTGATTTTTACTTGCTATCAGAGACATTCATGAAAATTTATTTCAAAGATTCGATTCAGCCATCCGACAATATCCTTATCGAAACTCACCTTAGTACGAAATGAGAGAGAAAGGGTTTAAAATTAGTAATTCTTTTTGGAAGAGAAAAGTATCACATTAAATGCATAAAAACAATTCGACGAAGCCACAAGAATGGAGACGAGTAGAGTATAGATCTTCATGCAATCGTCTATAGAATTGTTATTATTTGACCCTTTGTATTTTACACCTACTATGCATGAAGAGCAGACCAATATCAAACAGACACATAAGGATGTGAGTGTGGGTGTGAATCTTGTATTCTTTAACACATCCACACCCATCCTTCAACCAGTGTCACGTTATTTCCAGTTTTAGCAACTTTTCTACATGGGAAACATATTACTCTCTTTTTTTTCAAATATTTTTCTTTGCAATCGTTAAATATTCATTAAATGGAGTAAACATTCGAATAAAATATCATTCTTTATTATTAAGAATCTTATAACTAGCACATACATCCTTAGTGTTATCAGGAAGTTCTTTTTTTTTGACAATATATGCCTCTTTATATGGCAACAAAAAATGCATAGGTATCTATTTATGTGTTTATATGTACACGCGCAAGATAAGAAGAAAACTATTGTAGTACGTGGTGGATAAAGAAAAAAACTAAGATACAAAATTAACGTGTTTTATAGGTAAACTTCACTTATGGAATACATCAACCGATATTGGATGAATTCTTATACGGGAAAGTATTTTTGATTATTTACACAACGATAGAAAAAAACGATAGGATTCGAACTTTATATATTGATTTTGTGAATCATCTGATGACTATATCGTAATTCGTTGTGTTTGTTGATGAAAAAGAAAGGAAAGTGTGATGTAGTGACTCATTGAATGTATTCCACTGACTACTATTCATATATGTTGGAACTTTTGAGTTTCCTTTTTTCCCACTGACGTTGGAAATTTCCATGCCGCCCTATATTTATGTATATATGCGATCACGCTCGTAATGGTCTGGGGTTGTTCTTCTTGAGATTCTATTTCTTCATATTACTGAGTTTTGGTCTCTGTTATATTCCATTCCTTCCTTATGTATAAATAAACTAGAGAAGTTGACCTTAGTTTCCAATCTTCTGACATAATTGCAATAAGTATATGATGCCATGAAATTTTTTTATTATGACATACTGAATCGTAGAAGTAGTATATAAAACAAGATTGTTTTATTTTAGGACAACCTAAATATGGATATGATTAAACCTTTAATAAAACAACAATTATCTGCAAAGAAATTGTTATATAAACCATGCGCTGTGATTATGGGAAGAACAGGAGCTGGAAAAACAACATTGGTTAACACACTTTGTGAAACAGAACATGCAGCAGGTGAAGGCAGAGGAAGTGTCACTCGAAATCTTTATCTTAACGATATTTCTTATGGCGATCATACGTTTTCTTTAATTGATACACCTGGAACAGATAGTTCATCTGAAACATACAAACATGCTGTTTTGTTAAGAGAAGGTTTGACAGCAAAAAACATAAATACCATATTTATTGTCATTAAATATGATAGTCGGTTTGATAAAATGGTGGAAAATTATTTCGAAGTTGAACAACCGGTCTATAATTATACTGATAAAGTTGTTGTTATGATTTCTCATTGGGATCAATCGAAAAATCCACAAAAAAATTATGAGGAAATTTGTGAATTATTTCAAGATGAATGTCCAAAGATAAACAATTTAATTTTCTATTCGGATCGAAGTTCAACAACAGAAGTATCAAATCTTATGTACAGCTGCATATCTAATATGAAAAAAGACAAACTAAAAATAGAAGATGAAGAATTTTTTTTAAAATTCAATATATATGAAATGAAAAATCAAATGAAAGTTTCATTCAAAGAATATGAAAAAAAAATCGCTTCGCTTCTACAAGAATATACAGACTTGATTAATTCAGTTCAATGTGCATCTGTTGAAGATAAAGATGAAGTTTTACATATGACAATAGTCCAATTCAAAAATGAAGCCGAAACAATGCTACAAGATTTTCAAAGAAAACATGGTGGAGCTATGATGGAATTAGATTACTACGCATTCTCTATTAAAATGCAAAAAGAAAATGTTCGAATATGTGATGATTTTGTTGAAAAAGTAGTACCATTAATGTCTTATAATCTATTTGATAATCAAGATCCAAGAAATTTAATTAAAAGATGTCCATATTGTAAATTGATTTGGTTCAAAACAGAAGGTTGTGATGGAATCACAACTTGTGGGAATAACAGCTTTAGTAAGCGTAGTGGAATAACTAGCAAAGCTTTTTGGAAGTATCAAGTTCAACGAATAGAAGGAAAACTTCAATGGACCAAAAATCCAGTAGAAGATGTTATTGAAGAAAATTCCGAAGAAAAACCTGAAGAAAACTTTGAAGAATTTGTCGAACGTCCTTCTGACCCATTAAATCTAGTACAACACTTAATTCGGATAAAAATGAAAAATTTTCAAAATAAAGCAAATTCTAAACGAGTTGGTTGTGGAAAAAAGTTTAAATGGAGTGAACTTCCAAAAATAGAAGATGAATTAATTCTCGAATTATTCAAAGTAAAAACGATCGATCAAGCTAAACAATTAATTCAAGCTGGCAACTTTCAAGCAGCTAAAACTAACTATGAACATGATATTGACTCGAATTTTTATTTTTGAATGTTTCATCATTCTCATATGATTAAATAGACCAGAAGCTTCACAAATTTTATAATAAAATGATTGATCAACGAGATATATTCATTATGCAAAAATATTTTTCAGATTTGTTTCTCGAAAATATTTAAAAGAAAACTAATTCTGTTTATATTATCTCTTTATGAAGCATGATTGGCCTGCATTATGATTTATATAAAGTTTATAAATAATGTCTTTTTTCTTTTGTTTCAATATAAATAAGAATAGACTAGAAATGTATCAGTATCTATGCATTTTCATAGAAATTCAAATAGATTATAGAGTAATCTAATCAGCAATGTCATCAGAGTTTTGTTAAATTTCGAAAACATGAGTTTTTTTTTAATAAATTTATGGAAATATGCAGTTCTAATTCTTAAAGTTGATTATTCTAGTAATGTTTCTTATTATTTTGACAAGTTATAAGCTTTCATTCACTGCAGTATCATTCCTGAACATCTAAGATTTTAATCAAAAACTGGACGTAGCAAGTGTGGGTGTGGATGAGTATAATAGCTAAACGCACGTCCACCTACATCCATATCCACAACTCTTCAGCACTTATTTCTTCCTATTCTAAATAAAGCACTCTGCTCATATCTTTTTCTTTTTAAGTTTTAAAATAAAATTATTTAAATTTGTATAGTTAACTTTGAACTTTTTGCTCTGTGAAAAATATCGACAGGTGAAACAAAGAAAATCGATAATTAATCTTTTAATCAAGCAGATTAAATTAATTCTGAATTTTAAAAAAAATATATAATATGGTTCAGACGAAAGAAAATTGAATGAACACTGCTATGTAGAATCCACTAGATAAGAAAAAGTCAAAATAAACGAATGCTTTTATAATATACTTTTTTAGTTGAACATTTAGAGTCTCTTATCTGCACAGAAAAAAGTGTATATATATAGCTCGAAAAAATATGACGCATTGTACTGGGTTCAAGGCTTAGTAACGCGTTTTTTCTCAAGATTCTTGCCTGCCTGTGTGTTATAGGATGTCATATGGTTCTTATATTTAAGTGTATGTGTATGTTCTTATCAAATTTTTGCCTTTGACTGACAAGATTTTGTTCTTTCACACAATTTTCATTAGTTAACATTGATCATTAAAAAGCAGTGAAGAAATATTTACAACGCGAATAAACAAATATCATATAAACGAAAACTAGATATTAAAGAAGATAAACTGAGGTTAGTGCTCACAGATGAAAAGAAGTTCTCTCATCATTTTCTACTTAATTAAGATTTATGTGAACCGTTAGTAGTTTTTATTTCATCATCAATTGAACGAATGCAGTTTATTTGCTTCTCACCTATTGAAACCAGCAAACACTGAATGAGATTTTTCACCTCAAATTTCACTTATGAATCACTCAAGGAAAAATCAAGTTATTGTATTCACGATTTCTTCATGAGTCTCTATCATGTGCACAAAACTAGTGAGACTATTTACTTTTTATTGATCGAAATGACGCAGATAAGCTTACAGCTCTTGTATTGAAAGAAAAGTGTGATAAATGATTAAAATATGAAGTCGTAGTTGTTGAAGATGCTTCAGTAAAAAGTCAAATTAAAAGGAACGTCGAATTTATATCTCTATATTAGATTCAAATAGTTAGTTTCTTCTTTTCGTACATTCATGAAGCTACAACGACATTCCAAATATTAAACGTAACAATTAAAGAAAGATTTCAATCTAAAACAGAATTACAAACCATTTTATTCTTTCGTGTTGATTTATATGCATTTTTTCTCGTACTAATAAATGGAAAGAAAGATAATGAAAAAAAAATGATGATAACGAGTCTGACACATGAAATGCTATTGACCTTTAACTTTTTTTTCTTATTCTTTGTTATTTATAGACGTTTATATTTAACTGTGTCTTTTCTTACTTCTTTAATTTAGAACGGTCAATACACAATGTAGATGTCGATCATCAATAAATATTCTTATAAGGTTATTATTCTACTTATATTTCAGTTGATTTCATGTAGTGATTCATCATCCTGTATATTTACCACAAATATATATTCGAATGGTGTAAAACAACAATTACAAGTAGAATCTGATTAATGCTATTCGGTTTTTTTGATAATAAATAATCAATAATATATTTAATGTAATCTTTTCTTCTATTACCTGTAGAATTTTCAAGAGATAAAGCCAGCGAAAAAAGAAAATAGGTGATTGAAAGAGTGTTGGAATATCTATGGTTAGAACACTGCGAGAGTCTCCTACGTATATATTCTCTTTTTTGGATGCTGTGGATAAAGGATAACTTGGACTCAATCACTCTATCTCTCTTACACGCACACGTGTTTTTCGAACGATGAGACAGATCGATTTCACCCTTTTGTATTATGTCGTAGCATTTATAGTATAGTCCTTAAGACGACAAGAATAAACAAAATCAACCATAACACTTGTTAGAATTAACAATTCATAACACTATATGAAAATCATTATCATATCACGATTTAATAGTTAAGAGTTTTTTAATGATACGGCGACCACCGAGATCTACACTATTCTTTGTTTCACTCTTGTAATTGATAACAAGAAACGTAATACATAAGGAGTCCAAAAATAAAGACAACTCATCATAAATATATAAATAATATAGAGAAGCCTATACACTTGATAGACAGGTAATTCTATCTGGAATGAGCCAAGCTTGACAATTGTCAATGTTCCACAAGTGTACACGTTTGCATGTTCATGAATGTTTCTAATGCGATGACGTGGGCGAAATATTGGTGAATAGCTACATGCGCGTCGGAATACAACCTCAGATGCGTACACTTTGGGACAATGCCAACGACGAGAAAATATTACTATACTTGTATCGAGGTCGGGTGCAGATCCAAAATCACCGTGAAATCGTTCTGCATCTTCTACTTTATAACCAGCTTTATACACAAGAATTGAAAGCACAGATTGATCAAAACGATGTGTGGTCGATGAGCGTGAAGTAATCGGAGCAATGCAATTAACATTCAGGGAACATACTACGAATGGTGTCAAAATATCTTTATAAAAACCAGAGTGGTTTGTTATGAAACCTAAAATGCCTCCTGCTGTTTGATAGTGACTACCAGTGCTAAAATCATTCTTGCTTGTATTCAATGCTGCAAATGTTTGCTCATCAGTATGATCAACAATCAATGTTTTTTGTTGTGTGAGAAAATAGCCATGTGTTTGAATTGCTTCTATAATTGGATCAAGTGATGAGCGTATTTCCGTGCCAGCATCGAGGTAGAAAATAACTTTTGTCTTGGATCTATATTTCTCAAATGTCTCTTTCAATAGAAGTGCTTTGTAAGCAAATGAATCTAGATCTGCCACATGGCGTGGATAGATCTCGAACGGAAGTTGCTCTATTTCAATATTGGCCATGCACGATATCCGAGAGAGTTGTAAATCAGTCATGCCAAGATCGAAGACAAGAATCGATACGTAAGGTTCATGAAAATGAATCGATCCGATGAGATTTTCCAATCTATCGACAAACTCGGCTGAAGATGCTGTTACTAGTATGAAATCATGACGATTCGTTACATTTGAAAATATTGACAGATGATTATTGAGTTTGGAGACGAAATTTCGATCGTGTGGACGCTTAGCAGGTATCAGTAATGTGCTGAGTATTGGTTTTAAAAGAATGTAGTAAGTAACAGTAATAAATACGATATAAATACCAAAAGTCACCAAACCAAAGGGTACATGGCGATTATACACGAAACGACTTTTAACAGAATGAAAAATTAGTAAACGATTGAAGTATTTGCTTCGGTTTCGATTGAGAAAATTCATTAAACTATATTAAAGTTGAAACACTAGTTATTTATGGATGTTTCGATCTTTTTTACTTTTCTTCCGCACTTTTCTTGTTTCTCGTTGATTGTCTGATGGCAAGGCTATCAAATGTTTATCGTAGATGAAGTTGTCAGTTAGTGCAGTATTCTTATCTGCAAATATCAATAAAAGAGAGAGATTAGTGTGTGAATGTGTATGATGGAGTAGCGAAGACCTTTACTCATGTACACGCTCTTTGATTTTCATCTGTAAGAATGTATATCAAATTTAGAACTCTTTTGAGTTCTAAATTTAATATAGATTCCTATGGATCAAAAATAAATTCATAAGTCGCATGTTATAAGATGGTAAGAATTCATCTAAATTACGTTTCATGTAGCCCAGATCTATTAAAAATATGGTTGTTCTCTCTAAGAATACACTTAATTCAAAAATTGAACGTGTAGTACCATGTAGAGGTATACGATAGAAATTATTCTACTATTAAAAAGCTCGTATAACTACTATATGTTCTATGAAAGTGACATATATAAAGCTTGTTTCATAGATTTTGAACCATTTTGGATTTTTTACGTCTTTAGAATACATAGAATTGAACAGATATAGAAAATATATGTTTGTAACATTTAAACTATCATCGAAAATCGATTATAATGAATTAATATCATTATTAAGAAAGTGTTTTATGAGAAAACATGCTCAAATATATCAATTTTTTTTCTACTCTTTTTTTCTATTAGAATGAGAAAAATATCAGTCGCACACTCACTGTGAGTCATCTTTACTATTGTGTTCTTAGAAAGTCTAATATTAAAATAAGTTCACATCAGGA